CATTGGTCTTCCAAGCAAGGCTTCCGCGGGAGAAACTTGATTCGGAACATTAGGATTTGGAGTTGACCTGTAATACTGCAAAAAAGTGCAGAGATGTTCCTTGACTTCTTTTCCCTCTGTCTCGCATTTTGAAAGTGCCCGTTTGAATGTATCTACGAAACGTTCTGCTTATCCATTAGAACTTGGATGAAACGGTGGAGTATGCAGATGATTGATTCCCTGTAAAAGACAAAAGTTTTGAAACTTTTCTGAAGTGAACTGAGTTCCATTATCTGAAACTAAACTTTCAGGGACACCAAATCTTGCAAAAATTTCTTGGAGAATATCAATAGTTCGCTGAGCTGTGATTGTTTGCGTTGGAACTATTTCAGGCCATTTTGAAAAGGCATCGACCAAAACAAAATAATATTCTCCATTTAACGGTCCTGCGAAATCTATGTGAACTCTTTGCCATGGTTTTTCAGGAAGAGACCAGCTTGATAATGGTACCTTGATAGGTGATTTCGCAGCGAGTGCGCAATTTCTGCAATTTCTGACAAATTCTTCTATTTGCTGATCTATCCTTGGCCAATATACGTACGAACGTGCTATGATTTTCATTCGCTCCATTCCAGGATGACCCTTATGCAATTGTTTGAGAATTTGTTGATGGAATTGTTGAGGAATTACAACTCTGTCGTTGAAAAGAAGACATTCCTGAATGACGGTTAGTGAGTTTCGACGGCGGAAAAATGGTTGTAAATCCGAATCATCTACATTCTGAGGCCATGAATTCGAAGTAAAGTTGATAACTTTTTGTATGATGTCATCCTCTTTAGTTGCTTCCTTGATTTGTTGAAATGTGATTGGAAAGGACTGAAGTGATTCATTGAGGACTGAGAATAAATCTGTTTCCATTTTGACAGAAGCGATTACAAAATCCTCTTCAGGACGTTGTTGATGACTGATTAGTCTTGATAAAACATCCGCATGTCCAAATTCTGTCGTCTTGATGTATTCGATTTTAAAATCGTAAGATAATAATTGAAGTGCCCATCGTTGAAGACGGTTGGCTGTATGCGACGGAATTCCTTTTTTGTTACCAAATATTTGAAGTAATGGTTTGTGATCCGTTTGAAGGATGAATTGTCTTCCGAAAATCATTCTATGAAATTTCGTGACTGCGAAAATGATTGCTAATGCCTCTTTTTCAATTTGACTGTATTTACGTTCTGCTTCTGTGAGACTCCTTGAGGCGTGACTGATTACCTTGATCGAATGATCTGGAAATCTATGAAGAATGCATGCTCCTAATCCTTCATTTGAAGCATCTGCTGCTACAATAATCTCATTCTGAGGATTGTAGTGAGTTAATAAGAGCTTTGAAGAAAGAATTCTCTTAAATTGATTAAAAGATTCTTGACATTTTGGAGACCAGTTCCATTTAGAATCCTTTTTTAAAAGATTATCCAAAGGACGTCTAAGAATGTGCATATTTGAAATGAAACGTGCATAATAATTGATTACTCCTAAAAACGAACGTAATGTAGTTAAATTATGTGGTTCAGGCATGTTTTTAATTGCTTCGACTTTTGTAGGATCTGGATGTAATCCTTGTCCATCGATGACATAACCCAGATAATTGATCTGTGTAGTAAAGAAACAACATTTCTCTATTTGCAGATGTAGACCATAATCCTTTATTCGCTCTAATAAATAAGTTAAGTTTTGATTATGCTCTTGAACTGTAGCTCCACCCACAACAATATCATCAATATAAGCAAAAACGTTTTCTAGTCCAGATATCATTGAATCCATGATTGATTGAAATTCACCTGGAGCTATGGTGACTCCGAAAGGTAAACGATTATAAACGTATAAACCTCTGTGAGTATTGATTGTTAGAAGATGCCTTGATTGCTCCTCTATTTCAATTTGAAGAAATGCGTCTGACAAATCTAGCTGGCTGAAATACTTACAGTTTGACAGTTGCGAAAATATTTCATCTGGTAATGGAAGTGGATAACGATTAGGTTCCAATGATTCGTTAAGTCCAGTTGAGAAATCCGGACAGATCCTAATCTTTCCATTTTTTTTTCTTACTACAACTATTGGAGTTGCCCAGTCTGAATACTTGATTGGTGAAATGATTCCATTTTGTTCCAGTCTTGTAAGCTCTGCGTCGACTAAAGGTAAAATTGCGTAAGCAACCGGTCTCTTAGGTCTGAAAATAGGTTTTGAATTATTTTTTAAATTCAGTTTGACTTTAGTCTTTGTGCAACGACCTAATTGAGAGGAAAAAACCTCTTTAAAATTTTCTTTAATGAAGGATATATCAAAGTGCGTCGAATCTGCTTGAGAATGGATCTTGGAACAGAAGCTATTGAGACTGCATTGCCATAAATCGAAAGCTGCGATCCAATCGAGACCCATGATGTTGAGATCCGAATTTGCTGTTACGAAACATCGTAGTTGTTTGATAACTCCGTTCAAGGTTACTTCACAATAAATTTCTTGATTGAAATTGATCTGATTTCCCGACGCGTCACGTGCAACATGAGACGTTGAACAACCTGTAGGCTTTCCCAACAAAGACCAAATCTTTTCTGATATAATGGTAATATCTGATCCCGTATCAAGTTGAAGTTTAATTGGTTGATTATTTATCGAAATATTCACAAATTTGCGAGTAAGATTTGAATTTACTTGATTGACCTTAATCGTCTTGACGTTTTGATTTGCCGTTTCGTTATTTGTTTTCGTTTTGACTCTCTGAGTTGAAGCGCAATATCCGTCTTTGTGACCGACAGTATTACATTTTTGACATTTATGATTTTTGAAAGTACAAAACTTAGAATAATGCAATTGTCCGCAAAACCAACACGGTGTTGAAGGTGTTGAATCTTTGTTAGGTAAAGAATTTTTGATTTGTTTCTTACCTTGCAGATTCCTTGATTTATTTGAGTTTGTCACCTGCGGTTTACGTTGTTTATCAGTTTTGACAATCGCTACGGCATTGGACTCTGTCGATTTTTGGTTTTGAATCACTGATGTGTCATGCTTGAGATTGATTAATCGCTGACATTCTCTTGTAAGATCGTCAATTGTAAGTGTATCTGACTTTATCGATTAAGTTGAGAAGTTTTGTTCGTATATCGGCTTCCGCAGACGATCTTAAAGCACATACAAAAATAAGGCATTTAAATTGATCGGCAGTAATTGTAGAAATTTTGAATTCCTCGCAACGTTTGTTTACTAGCGCTGCAAGTGAAACGAAATCTTGATTTGGTGATTTTGTCGTATTCATGCAATCATATCGCTGAT